GTAAAATAGCAAAATCAACCCAAAATATCAAATTCAATATAGATTTACTAAAAGAAAATTTCCACCACTTGGTAATGGCCTAATAAAAAAATGATACCAAATTTAATTTGGGAGTAACTTTGGTAATTTTGCCTAAACAAGCAAAAAAACACTATTAAAACAAAAAATTCTAAAATGCTAATGCAAAAAGTCCAAAATGGGTGATTTCCAAAATCAACATAAAATTACATTTAAACATATAGTCATAATATATATCCATAAAATTCCAAAAACATATAGCAAAAAAAAAATCGGATATCCGGTTATCCGAAAAATCCAAAAATTTAATCCATATCCGATCCGATTTTTTTCGGGTATCCGATCCGAAATATCTGCAAGCTAAAATATCGGATCGGATATCTATTTTTCGGATCGGATCGGCCCGGATCGTGGACGGATATTTCGGATCGGATATTTTTGAACAGTAGGTGCGGTCCATTCCAATATAGTTCAAGTCCAAATTAAGGTCTGATCAGGCTTATGTACGCGCGGCCCAACACTCCTGAGAGGGAGAATACGGAGTACTCTGTGCTAAAATTTACAGTGTACTCCTGAAGAAGTCGGCGATCGAACGTTTCCCCGTCGGACGTCGCCGTCGGTGTTGATAGAAAAGTATTGCTGCACTTCAGTTTCTAAGCTTCCAGGTAAATCTGCATATCCCGATTGCTCTTATTCGATTTCAATCCGGCCTAAATCCCGAAGTCTTGCCAAATCGCGAAGAGCTAATGAAGTCAGGCGATGGAATTGATAAACCATAACTTTCAGTTTTTTTCATTGAACCTCCAGACCTTCAAAATCCCTACCTGGGCTCTGAGTATTAAAACCTCAACCCCTGATTTCTCCATGAAGGAGCTGAAATCAAATGTCTTCTCCAAAACCCTAAGCCTAATTCAGGACTCTTTCTATTTCACCTTAAATGGGAAATTGGTTTCAGATTCTACCCCATCTGAAAATTCCATCATTTGCACCTCTCTCTACCTTAACCATACGTCTCCGCCTCATTGTTGGAGGGGGTGATGGCGGCGCCACAGGGGCGGAGACTTGCCACTGTTACCTTAAAAATTTATGCTATCAAGTATCCCGAAACCGACTAAATTGACCCGAAGTGGAAGAGGTTATCAAAGTGGTTAGAGTTTAACGGCAAGTATAAGTTCATTGCTCTTAAGACATGTGAGCATGTTTTCAGATACTTGAGGCATGATGATAAATTACCAAACACAGCTTCTAACCCTTTTGCTGCCCCCATTTTTTCTTAAAATTAATTACAGAGTATTCTATTGATTGAACAAAAGGATGTAAATTTGGGCCTGTTAACACTTGTGCCCAAGCTTGCGTTCTACATTTGGACTAAACCAAACTCTCTCTCTCTCTCTCTAGTATACCTACAGGTATAAATCAAGCTAAAATTTGGCCTCTGTCATTTTTGATAATTCCATCTTCAGTATTTCCTGCTAATTCTTTTGGCCTTATCAAATATTCTCAAAGAAAAATCACAACTTGTTTTGTTTATCCTCACTTGGACACAATTATTAGATGTTTTAGATCACTTGGAATTGTTTAGATATATGGTTCAAATTCCATATCTCAAACACTAGCGCACGTGTCTTCAATTAGCCCTATATACTTGAAGATGTGTATGAAATGACGCAGTCAATATCTTTTGGCACTACAAATTTATCTTGTTACCGGGAAAAATAGCAAAATGTGTGCATGTGGTAGGCCATGTTTTTTTGGAATTCATTTGTAAAACGATGTACAATAATGAAATGAAATAATTAGTTACTCAACCAACGAATGTTGGTTTGATAATTTAAAAAGCAGTAATAACTAATATGTAGTAACAAATAAACAAATTTAGATAATTTTATAGGGTAAATGAGAGGGGGGTAGATGTACGCATCCTGACATAGGTCTGCTGTTTCCTATCAACGCATGATGAGTGTCGAAAGTTGTACTCACTAACTACTTCACTATTGAAAGAAGCGCATTTAGTTTAGAGTAAATTTCCAAAATGGTCATCTTTAATAATGTATTTTCAAAAATCAGTCTTCAATAAGTTTTAATTACCTACGCGGTCCTCTATAATTGAGATTTATTCCCTAGATAGTCCTTCGTAAATAATGTTAGTCAAATGATGATTAATTGAGGGGCATTTTGGTATTTTTTATCAGCTAAATTTAGAATAAGTCAAAATGATCATTTCTAATTAAAGATGTGTATTCGATTTGAAATTTCGAATTTTAAAAGATTTTTATAGGTTTTTAATAATTCATGGATTATGTATAGCCAATGAATTTTTTAATTTTATATGTAATTGTATAGAAATGACCATTTCGAGAATATGCTTTAAATTTAGATGATAGGAATACCAAAATACCCTTTAATTAATCATTATTTGAGTAACATTATTTACGAAGGGCTACCTGATAAATAAATCTCAATTATAAAGGACCACGTAGGTAATCAGAACTTATTGAGGACTGAATCGAGAAAATACCTTACTACAACTTATTCAATCATACGCCAAATCCAAAAAATAGTGAATCTATAGCTCCATCGGATATATTTTCAATCCTATTTAGCTTAATTTTATAAGTTCAACATGCTATGGCTGGTGATCTTCAAGGTTGAGGGTAGGTTTGGTGGGTGGGGTTGGGGATGGTGGAGGTGTAGTGGGGCCGGATGGGGGTGAGGTAGGGGAGGATGAGTGTGAATGTATATTGAGAGTAGATGAATTATGAATTAAAACCACAATATTGTAAACTACTAACTCCGTTTCACAAAACAACAACAACAACCCAGTTAAATCCCACAAGAGTAGGGTCTGGGGAGGGTGTGTGTACGCAGACCTTACCC